CTTTAAGTCATTCCCTTTTACAACACAAGTATAAGCGGTAATGTGCTCATTGGGGTCCGTGGTCCCGTTATACTTCGGGACATCGGGCATTCTGAATTTCTTCAGGATAGGCTTCGGAGCCGCACCTGGTGGGAATGGTTTCTGTATGAACTTCTTTGAGTCTACGCCCTTCAGAATCGGGGGTGTGCCCGGGATCTGATCGACCCTCGAGTTATAAGTCTCCACCTTTTTATCGTTAGCCTCTATCTTCTTTTCTCCTCAGTCAATCCTTTTGGTAAGGTCCTCGAGCATCTTCATAATAGCGGGGTCTGCTGCTGACCCGTTGTCACTCGATCTCTCTAATGCCTACTCGACTCGAGGAGCCATTTCCTGTGCTACTGTGGTTGGAGTTTTTTGTTGACTTTGTAGCTGGGGAATATCCACTTGTTGTGCTTGTAACATCTCAAAATGACTTGAAGGCTAACTTCTCTTTCCTCCCAAGCTGGAGTCCCATGTGCTTCATGTAGGTCTTCCCCGTGCATACTTCCGTTGGTATGAGAACTTACATCAACATGCACAGCGTTGCGTGAGCTCACGTCGACGAGGATTTGTGCTGGTGCTACCCCGGGGTTTTGCGGGTGGTACACCGGCATCTGCACCGTTCTCTCCATGAAGCCCAATACCGTTGTTTTCGGGTGCATTTGCTGAGTTAGACATTTTTTGACCTGAAATCAGAGATTCTTGGACAAGAAAAAGTGTGAAGAATAACTTGTGTTTTCAGAAAACTAGCACCAAAACAATCACTATTATTTTTAGCCCCACGGTGGGCGCCAAACTGTTTACCTTGAAAATGGTATTAACAAATATATTTGATTTTGTGGTTCTAAAATTATGTGATTTATTTCAATACTAGTTGTTAGGCAATAAATGCTGAATGTAAGTAAAAAGAGTAAGATATGCAAACCAATACTATCGCAAGACTGAGCCTCGAGCTCGCTGGAACAAGGGCTTCGAGGTAGTCAGGGCAGTTAGCAATGAACAATTGATGAAGAAACAATGATAATGAAGGCCTCAAAGATAGCCTTTTGCGGTTAATAATGGGCAATGAATGAACAACAATATGAACAATAAATGAACAAGCAATAAATCTGTAGAGTAAATGTTGAGCACTTCTTGGTGAGAAGAGCAGAGAATGTTGTATATTATTCAATATGTCGTGTCCTTCTCTTACAAAATGATAAGAATCCCCTTTATATAGGAGGGGAGAATCCCAACATGGTATATGTCTAATCATGACGAGGAATGCTATTGGTACAGCTGTACAACGGCTCAGTACAGATTTGCACTATTTCTCGCAGACTCTGTAAGTTCTAATCACGTGCCCTTGGGAACTTCCCGCCTTTTCATGATGGTCGTAGATTTGTACTGCTCCGAGATTGACCCTCGATATGCTTCCTCGAGGGACGCACCTCGAGGTCACACTTCGAATTCTGCTTCGAGCTTCTCGAGGTCGGGCGTGGAGTGCCTCGGTAGCCCCAAAGTCGAACTCCCCGATTTTGGTACAGTGTGTCAAATGCTAAAACGTCACTTATTATGGACCGGATGGAGAAATAACATGCCCGATGAACATATTTGATTCTAATTAATTGTAGTGTTCAAATTAGCATGACAATAACGTTATGCCATTAACCTTGATAATCTCGGTAATCCCAAAGAGAAAAGAGATAAACCATTTTGGATATCACGTTAAATGTTTGTCCACATATGAAATGCAGCTTGTTTTTACCGTAACTAAACTCTGTATTTAAGGCAAAAGAAAGTCTATCGATTTTAACATTCCTTAAGTAGAATCAATGGCTAAATTAGATTCAAATTTTCCTCCTAAATTCCCAACAATCCAAAAATGTGAATCAAAGGGGCGAGAAAATCACACAATAGTCGCAGACATGGATGGCACTTTACTAGTTGGACGTAGCTCTTTCCCTTATTTTGCACTTGTTGCATTCGAAGTTGGTGGTATTTTTAGGCTTCTTTTTTTAGTATTATCATCTCCTTTAGCTGGACTTCTATATTATTTCATCTCCGAATCCGCAGGCATTAGGGTCTTAATTTTTGCAACTTTTGCTGGCATGAAAGTGTCTGAAATCGAGTCCGTGGCACGTGCTGTTTTGCCTAAATTCTATTCTACTGACTTGCACCCTGAGACATGGCGTGCTTTCTCGTCATGTGGGAAAAGATGTGTTCTTACAGCGAATCCTAGGATTATGGTTGAACCATTTTTGAAAGAATATTTAGGTGTTGATTTGGTTATTGGGACAGAGATATGTACGTATAAAGGAAGAGCCACTGGATTTGTGAATAAACCTGGAATTCTTGTAGGTGAAAATAAGGCTGTGGCTCTTAAAAAGGCCTTTGGTTCTACATCTGCACCTGATATTGGACTTGGTGATCGCAAGACTGATTTTCCCTTCATGAATTTATGCAAGGTTTGTACCTCCTGTGGTGCTATTTCCTTTTTTTAATAATCTGTTTTATTAAAAAACACAATTTTATATGAGTTTAGCTTTTATATCTCATAGTGTACATAGAAGAATTTTTCCAATATCAAGCCACTAAAAATTAAATTCAGGTAATCATCCATAAAAAAAATAAGAATAATGTACCTGAAAAATAGGACAAGTTACATCTTAATTAAAACATGGTAAAATACGCTTAGTGCATGAAGGACAAGATCAAGGCACAGTTGGAAAACTTGAATTTAAACTTGTAATTAGGAAAGTGCAGCTAGAGGTGTTATGGTGCTTTTTGGTGTTATGGTGTTTTCTAATTTCTGGACCTATGAGTAAGGTTTTCATTTTTTTTTTCTTTCTGCTTGTAATTCTTCCAGTTGGTTAAGAAAAAAAATTATTTACCAAATAAAATAAAATACGCTTAGTGCATTTAGATCCTTCTTTATTTGGAAACCTTGTAATTTCCTATTTTACCATTAACGATCGACATGCTTTTAAAACTATAAAAATATCATGACATGTTCAAGATCACAAATTTTAAGAATACGATTCGGATGTACCATATATAAGACGTTCTTCTTAATTGTGTGCAGTGAAACACCAATCTATGAAATGGAAACGAGGGAGTAATAACTTATTACAAGCACAAACAAGAAGTTCTTCAATGCAAGTGATAAGATTGAAGTTTTACGTACTAATGGTTTAAAACTATATTTTTACAAGACCGTGTCATTTATAAATTACAAATAACCTGCTTTAACGTTTTTAAACGTATTATTAATAAAAAAAATCTTTACATTTAAGACAAAAAAAATAATATGATCCATCTTCTATTACACTGTGCAGGAAAGCTACATAGTACGACCAGAACCTGGTGTGAAGCCCTTGAGCCAAGACAAATTACCAAAGCCTATAGTTTTCCACGACGGTCGACTTGTTCAAAAACCAAGTCCTTTAATGGCACTTATGATAATTCTTTGGATCCCAATTGGTTTCCTCTTATCATGCTTGCGCATAGCTGCTGGTTCGCTCCTACCTATGCCACTAGTCTATTACGCTTTTTGGGCTCTTGGTGTTCGAGTCAAAGTCAAAGGCAACCCACCTCCTCCGGCCCAAAAATCCACGGGCCAAACCGGTGTACTCTTCATTTGCTCTCATCGGACTCTTCTCGACCCAATTTTCCTATCAACGGCCCTTGGCCGGCCCATCCCTGCAGTCACATATTCATTGTCTCGGCTCTCTGAGATTATTTCACCTATTAAAACAGTTCGTCTTAGCCGTGATCGCGTAACGGATGCTAATATGATCAAGAAATTGTTAGAAGAAGGTGATTTGGTTATATGTCCCGAAGGAACAACGTGTAGGGAACCATTTTTACTTAGATTTTCAGCCTTATTCACAGAATTGACCGATGAACTTGTCCCTGTCGCTATGTCTAATAAAATGAGCATGTTCCATGGCACGACAGCTAGAGGATGGAAAGGAATGGACCCATTTTATTTTTTCATGAATCCTAGTCCTGCATATGAAGTGACATTTTTGAATAAATTGCCATATGATTTGACTTGTAGAGCTGGAAAATCAAGTCACGATGTGGCGAATTATATACAAAGGACTATTGCCGCAACGCTATCGTATGAGTGCACTAATTTTACTAGGAAGGATAAGTACAGTGCTTTGGCTGGAAATGATGGAACTGTGACAACAAAACCTGGACTTGCACGCAAGAAAGTGATGGGCTGCTAATAGAGAAAATGTGTGGGGTTTACAGATTGTCCTCACAAGTTTTTATTTGTGGTCATGTTCCAAATTGTAAAGAGAATTAAACAGTTAACAGTTGACGAGAAAACAGGAATAAACTGCAAAACCTCATTAAAGTGATTGGTCGTTTGGCTTCGAATCCTCAAACAAATAAACTTTAATTGGCATATTTATCAGACTTGAAACATTGCATTTTGAACTTCAGACTGAACATATTCCAGTCATGCGAATTAAAAAGAGGTCGCGCTAGAAACTATTTATATTCGGCAGCCGAAAAGGTGTATAGTTTTTGTATATACCACACAAAATATATATACACACACTTTTTCGGCTATTATTTTGAGAACGGCTGTACAGTGTTATTTTCCCAATTTAAACAATTCTTCGGGATACTTATTTCTAATGCATTTTTTGCATGAAAGGAATGGAAAAAGAGCAAATACGATTCAATTGAGATTTGTACATTTTGCAGTGTAAAAGCTTCAACTTTCTTAAAAAGGTTTTCTTTTGAATAACCTTTTTTTTTTTTACTTCAAATGAGAAAAAGAATGTAAGTCACTGATCGATAGGCATTAAGTTCTTTCATTTTTTTAATTGTCTTAACTTTTCTCATATCACTTAATTGCAGAAACATGTAATATTATTAAGTGTTTGCGTCATACTGTCACTATAATTAGTTACTTACCTTAATATATACAGGAAAGTAATCCACGAAAGTATTTCTCAATAGGAAAAATTAAAGTAGTTCACTTCTAAGTGCAACAAGAGACTACGCACAAAGCATAGAAGTGTGGTTGTCTGAACTGTGATGGATTATCGTCTTTTACTTCTTCTGTATTTCATTTCCATTTTCCCAGACCTTTCTCATTCTTCTCTTCCATTCTCCTTAACGAGCAGTTATAAAGAAACGTAATCCTATTATCTCCCTATCTGTCTCCAAGTTAATTACTACTATATTACTTATTTGAATATAATATTTATCAATGCCTTTGCTTTTTTTTTCTTCCAGAAAATCATCAATTCTGAAATTGAAGACTGGTTTTTCGTCGACTTCAATTGATCCAACACGTGTCACTCAAATTTCATGGTACCCCAGGTTTGTTACCCTTAGTAATTGTTTGCCCTTAAAATTGGATAACAATTAAACTTATAAGTGGTTTTAAGGATATGTGATTTTACTTGGCAAAACTCATAAATACGAGAATTAATTTTAGAAATTAACAGTAAAATAAAGCAACCAATGTGATGAACAATTGTGGCCCTCGAGCTAAATCGCCCTCGAACCAACTGAGTATGCTATTGAAAAGTAAGAATTGAACAACAGAGCTTGCAAGAAAAAAAAACGTAATGTATTGCTTGGTTATGCGTGAATGTATGATGATTACAGAATGATCAAGACCCTCTTTATATAGTAGAGGAATTCTATTTATGGTACAATTCTAATTATAGAAGTAAATCCCATGATAGACTAAATAACCGGTCCTGACTTGATACGTGCCGAGATTTCCGCCACGATTCTTGCCCGATCGCGGATATCTCGGCTTTCAGTTATTCGACGTAGTAGGCTCCCTTCGATCTCTTTCTCATTTTGGTCTCGATCCCGGCTGGTCTCAATCTTGATCGACCATTGATCCACGAGCTAACCAATCCATCTTCGTATCATGGTTTGATATAAATGAGGCCGAGCCTTGATCTGCCATCCCGATTTTGGTTTGTCATACAAAATTAGGCCAGCCCGATTTTGACCATATACAGTAATATTTAGTAATATTTAGTCTTTATATGGCTGATATCCGACAATTGCAGGGCTTGATATTGATTGGAATTTATATGCAGGGCTTTCATATATCAGAATTTTTTGACAGATGAGGAGTGTGATCATCTCATCTCTCTGGTTAGCCTTTTTCCTCTTTCTTGCAGCTGCTCTCTGTTCCTCTCTTTCTTTCTGAACTATGGGTTTAGTAGTGCAATTAATTAAAGGTCATTTAATATAGTTACTATTTGGTATGAGAGAAAATAATTTCTTAGTAACACTGCCTATTACTTGAGTACTGTTTAGTTACTATTTTTTACCTGTCAATCAACTACACCTCAATTCGATATAAAGTAGATGTCTTCTTTATCTATTCGTCTAAAGGTATAAAAGATGTTTTCTAGTACTACATATTAAAATACACAGCCAGCCTTTGATTTATATAGGCTAAAGGTAGACTGGAGAAATCCACGGTAGCTGACAATGTATCAGGAGAGAGCATAGAGAGTGAAGTTCGGACAAGCTCCGGCATGTTTCTTGTCAAAGCTCAGGTTAATTCATGTCCTGAATCTCTTATATGTGTTACTATTACTTCTCCTTTTTACCTCTAGTGGACATTTAGTGTTGACTGTTAATATTGTTAGAAGTATTAGATGAGAAAGAACACTTAACTTTTAATTTGTTTCTCTTCATTAAAAGGATGAAGTTGTTGCTAATGTGGAGGCCAGAATAGCTGCTTGGACATTTCTCCCACAAGGTACTTTGGAATCTGTGGTGTTGATTGGCTTCATCGCTATATGCCTACACTCAATTTCTTACTTTGTATACTAACTTCGTTATTTAGAGAATGGAGAATCAATTCAGATATTGCATTATAAACACGGGCAAAAATACGAGCCACATTATGATTATTTTATGGACAAGTTCAATCAAGAGATAGGTGGCCATCGCGTGGCTACTGTCCTTATGTATTTATCAGATGTTAAGAAGGGTGGAGAAACTGTTTTCCCTTGGTCAGAGGTAATTCCAGTTTTGTATAATTGTTATTGGTTTCCTTTTTTCATTTTTACAATACTAGAGATGAAAATTTTCTTTTCTTCTTTGTTATTGAAACCTGCAGGCCACGGAATCTCAGCCAAAGGGTACTGATGACTGGTCTGATTGTGCTAAATATGGCTATGCAGGTTTGATTTGTCACCATGAATTTCAATGTGACATTATATGTGTCCATCAGCATATTCATGTAGGATGTAGTATTAGCCATTTAAAGTAAGTACGGCACACTATGTATTGGATAATAAAAAGAGAGGCGGATCCAAGTTTTAAACTTGATGGAGCACTAAAAACAATGTACTTTTGAACTTATAGGTTCGGCTTTGAATATTGAAATTTCAGTGATTATGTTCCGTATTGAAAATACTAGATTCAGTTGAACCCATTGAAACGGGCTGCATCTGCCTCTGAATAAAAGTGACACAAAATCAAGTGAGACTATAATTATACTGACAAATCCATGATTTATTTACAGTAAAACCTAGGAAGGGTGATGCATTGTTGTTTTTCAGTCTACATCCTAATGCAACAACTGATCCTTTGAGCTTGCATGGAAGTTGCCCTGTCATTGAAGGCGAGAAGTGGTCTGCTACGAAGTGGATTCATGTAAGGTCCATTGACGACACACCATCATCAACAGATCAGTGTATCGATCAGAATCCTGACTGTTCCGAGTGGGCTGCTGCTGGTGAATGTGATAAGAATCCTTCTTATATGGTGGGCTATGAAGGTTTTGTAGGTTATTGTAGGAAGAGTTGTAATGTGTGCTCATGATAGGGATACATACTTGGATTTTTCTACATCATTTTACCATCAGAGTAAAGTGTATCCTCAATTGTTGTGTATCTGTTTTTACATTATGTTACCCTTTTAGACACCATATGCTAGTAGAATAGAGCAATTTACTTTTCGTTTATCACATTATTCGGTAACTTGGTACTATAGAGCCCTGTGCCTCACTGCCTTGCTTTGATTCATCTAGCTTGTCAAAATTGTCAGAAGCATAAAAGTTCTTAATTTAAGTATCAATTAGTAATTAAATAATGAACTTTTCACTTGGGATAAAAAGATGCGCATTTTCTCCCCGGCTTAATTATTTCATATGTAAAGATGAAAATTGTAACTGCCAAGTGCCAACCAGAGAAGATAAAGAGGAAAGTTATGGAAAATATAATAGCCCAAAGAAAAAACCGTTAGTTTAGTTAGAAAACTAATGAACAGTTGGAAAACAAAAAACCAAAGAAAAAACAATGAGAAATATTCATCAAATATTTCCAACACAATTTTGATTAATCCATGACTACATTACAGAGATCAACATCTTCATTCCGGCGACAAGGATCCTCCGGTTGCATTTGGGACAACAGACTCAATACACCGGTTGATGGCGGGCCACCAACAACCACTGGAATCGAAAATTCTCAAAAATATAGAAGAATTCAATTTGACGAGGTGTCAAATGATGCCACCACATCTGTCAGAACGGAGACGAATAAAAACTCTTATGCGATGATAGCCTCTGAAACATCTTCTAGATCTAAAAGTAAGCCGCCCAGGTGCTCTTTCATTGCCATTTTTAGAGGATGCACCAGAACTCATGCATCCTAAAGGTTCTGTAGGAGGTTTTCTTGTTCTTTTTCTTTTCTTGTTTTATATTTTCATGTGACAAATATTATAACGCTGCGCTGATTTTCAGATGTTCTTTTCAGGCAAGAATCATTATTACACAATGAAAGACAATATTATCTATCAATTTCCTTTTTTCCGTATAAACAACCTATATTACATGAATTTCTTAACGGGTGTGAGAGGGGTAAAAAACTTAACGAACCCATACATGAACTTCTACACACTTGTACCCAGTTCATAGCAATAAACGAATTTGTAAAACGTAAATGAGATATGAAATTTCCAAAATTTGGATCTTTTAAATGGATTCGTCATGAAAGCCTATTGACGATTCAACAAAATTAGTGATCTAAAACCAAATTTTAATAAGAGAAACACATGCAAAAAATTAGTGAAATGTAACCTTTATTTTTTCATACTTGTTTCTATAACGTAATATTATTACAAGACTTGTTTTTAGAATGTAATATTATTACAAGACTTGTTTTTAGAATGTAATATTATTATAAGACTTGTTTTTATGTTGGTATAAGTTAATTCAAGTTAATAAGATGTTAACCATGTATTTGCAATACATTACTTTGATTTTATTATAAAAAAGACTTTATTTACTAATATAAAGATCTAAATATGTAGCCTTTCTTATCATAAAGATTTGTATTTTTTTTATTTTTTCTACAAACTTCAAAAATATTCTCTAAACGAAAATAAAATGATAAAATTCATCATTAACAACTTTTGGGGCCCATAAAATTGGGGCCTAATGCAAATGCTTTACTAGCTTCTCTCTTGAGCTGCCCCTATCAGATTGTTAATTGTGAGCTTTTTCCATTACCTGAAGTAATTGCTACAAATATGGATAACATGAACCAGCTGTGCCATCAATTCATTTCCACTCTCGGGGAACACAAAATGTTAAAGAACACACTCTTTTTCTCTCAATTTTCGTGTTAGCATACACTACAAGATAGAATTCAAAAAATCGCCAAGGCTATACATTCAGATGGAAGTTTGAGAGAAGGAAAGAGTCGGCTCTTGTGTATTATCAAGCAGTAAGATGGGCTCGCAACATTTGAGTCTCTGCTGCAGATGTTTATGCCATGGTTTAGAAGCCAAGTTTGTGATACTTGGTGTAGTCAATCTCTTTCATTCTAATACAACACAACATATTTTCCGGCAAATCCTCTGCTTTATTTCCCTGCACCATATATACAAGTAACATCAAATACAAGTCTTCAAGAGGTAGTCAAATCCTCTTTAGAATTGTTAATAGCTACCTGAATTGTCAGGCCGAAGTCAAGGACACAGTTTTTCAATCTGTCTTTAAACGATTCCACTCCTTTTCTAGCGAGGTAGTTGAATCTGTGAATGTCTAAATCAATTTCAAAATAGTTTTCTCCCTGCAACAGCCAACGTAAAAGATTTCAGTATGAACACCAAGAGAATTTGTTTGATTTTACATGCAAAGTACATGAATGTCTGTACACAGCAAAGGAGTGAATATCCTCATGAAAAGTTATAACCTGTTGTTTAATTTCCACGACAAAAATGTGATCACGAAGATCTGTTTGAATAGTCCTTTGTCCAGGTTCCACCCTATGTTGCTCGGACTCTCCAAAAATGTTGCCGCACCCATGTCGGATCCTCCAAAAATACACTACTTCCGAAGGATCCGACATGCACCGTCAACATTTTTGAAGAGTCTGAGCAACATAGGTTCCACCACCATGCAAAAAGAGACTTCCACTTGATGGAGAGGCATAAAAGGTTTTGTTGGAAGTTTGTTTTCGTAAGAGTTAAATGTGATATATCGTTTGTATGCAGTATAAAAATGTCAATATTTTAAGGGGTACAGTTAAAAAGTCTTGTTCTTTTTTACAAGTCTCGTAAAGGTGGATTCAGAGTTCGATTCTGAGCCTAAATATAACCAAGTCAGAAGAAAACAAATGCAATGATGCTAACTGCACAAAGTTTTTTAGATTAATGTACCAAATAAAACTCATGTTGAGGACGTGAGAGCACAGGCTTTTCATTGTATGCATTCAAGAGTTTCTTCTCGGCTGCACTTAATTGAAGATCATCCGTGTTTGCAACTCGGCCCAAGAATTTCAATCTTTCCCTGAAGGGTGCATTTGTGTCCATGGGAAAACTTTTGATCTTCTCTATTTCGTCATGTATTAATCTCTGTCGCACAGATAGCAAGGAAAAGAATAGCTAATCAGCAATTTATTGAAAAAGGGCAAATCTATATGCACACAGTAAAAACAAATATAATAGGTTGTACTTGTCTTATTAAGTGTTACTGAGAAATCAGAAAATGTAGTCATGTAAAGAAAATTCACCATCCTTACCTGGAGATTTTCTTGAAATTGGACTGGCATTTCTTTTGAGTAAATATCTGAAAGTTTGAAGTAGAGAACAATATTCATCCCTTCTCCATCATATTCATTCTGGAAGATTGCAGGAGGGTATAACGGTATCTGAAATGAGAGAACAGTCAATCATTTTTTGGGAAAGCAGTCATTCATTAATAGCATCAAATTATCCAAGAAAATTTGCCAGCATCTTCACTGGGCAGGTTTTAAATGCCTGCTCTGAGCAATAAAAAATAAGTCTAATCTCCTAGGAAGATATGATTGGTACATCAACATAAGACAATATACTTCGACAGTGAAAACAAAGCGAGAAGAAAAAAAAAAGTTCCCAATACCTGAAGATTCACAACAAGAATGGCAGGAACTTCACTGGATGAATCGATGGCTGGAAGTTCCACAAAACGTGCAATATGATCAATTTTCCTTGCCGACAAGAATACATCAGCCCCAAAAGGATAAAATGCAGCACAGTTTAGAGCGAACTCTTTCTTCTTATCCCTGTTGAAGAAAAATATAAAGGGATTCAACTTGATATTCAATTGAACAAAATAAACAAAAGGAATTACTCAAGAAAGAAATGGACAAAGTTGGAGACATGTCTTTTATAATCTCATGTCACAGATAGAGTCCATCATCAGTAGCTTTCTCTTACCTGAAGTAATTTTTACCACGGACCTTGAAAGTATTTGGCTCAATTGATGACCAGCAGTCGGACATTTTCCTCTCCAACGGGCTGCAAGGAATTTGAGAACCAGCGATTGGTCTTTGCAGAACGGCTTTTGGCGACACTGAAGATAGAAAAGCAGACAAGTCAGTAACACAATTACATTTTCAAGGTCAACGCGAATTCAGTTGTAGCTTGTAGCACTATGTAGAAACAATCAACACCCTCAATTGTCGTCTATGATCTAATGTATGCTTAGATAGTTTCCAGCTGTTATGTATGGATCACTGATCTATCTGACCAACTCTAGATGAAGTAACAGTATACTACATACTTCCCGTTTCTCTGTGTTTTTAGTCTACTTAATGCATATTAACTAATATGCACCATTGCACAAATTCAAGATTGCTTACAAAAACTACTTCTATTACTATGCCACAATACCAAGCAAGTTGGATCTCTATATGAATCCTGAGTCTTGACCATATCGCTCCATTTAAGCTCATATCAGTCCAAGATTCATTGCCATTTGAAAATACTTATAGTAAGTTATAATCTCAAAATGTTTTTAAGGTTTCAGAAGTCGTTTATGCAAGGAAAGCATCCTATTGCAGACTTTGGCTGCCATTAACAGTATCTGCAAGGTAAAAGCACTTACATAATGCCGAACTTGAAGTTGTTTCTCTCCATTTAAAAGATAACATCTGGGTCAAGGATGATTTTCTACGGGTGCGTGGTGAGCTCGGGTTTAGCGATTTTTTCTTTTCATCCGAAGAGGCAACACAAGCAAGACAAGGCAGGCATGGGTTCTGACTTCCACAATTGTGGAAAAATCCTGTTTCAACCCTAGCACCACTTTGATCCATGCTTCGGGGCGTTTTATCAATATGGCTCGGTCCATCAATCTCATTTTGAGAATTGTTGGACTTAAATTCAGAATCTGCTGAAGAGTTTCTTTTTGCAGCATCCTCTTTGACAACATTTGGTTCTTGACTTCCAAACGGTTGTTCATGTTTTGCCGGGAGGTCAGAAGTAGCATTTCCATTGTGATACACAAAATCAGAAAACCTTGGAGAAACCCCATTCGAAAAAGAACCACTTTGTGAAAAGACTGCACATTTTGAAAT